TGATATGCTACAACCATATACAACTTGCTCATGTTTTGCTCTGGCCTCCGCGTGTTCGCTTAGCACACTCATGTTTCCGAGAAAGGTCTTTTTAGATTCCAAAGCGGATCTAAATCTTGATAATTGTATAGATGAATTCTGGGAAGATTTGGGCACGCCTCAGAATCGTAGTGTGAGCGGTATCGGAGCGAAATTGGAGTGAGACAGAGCGACCGCTCCAGCCTTAATTAAAAAAGCCGCTCCGCGCTCTGACTAAATTCCACCCGCTCCGCTCCTCGCTCACGCTCCGATCCACTCCGCTCACATGCTCTGATGAGTACCAATGTTCACTGTTTGTTACTCACCGATACCACTATTTTATTTTTACAAATTAGAAATTTACAAAATATAGTGAGACTGATGCTTGGAAGATAGCATTTCTATGCATCCACCCATCTATTTTCTATATCCATTTGTCCTATGCAGGGTCAGGACGCTATAGGCCCAAGGTAGAGAAGAACCCAGGACAACACCTTGCAGGAAGAAAGTATTTATTATTTATGATAACTGTTAACACCACTTTTAATATGAAATACATGGCTTACCTCATATGGTACGTGAAGGTAGTGGTGAATGTAAACATCAGTGAAGGTAATTTCTGAGCTTGTATGCAATGGAAAAAAGTTCATGAACCATGGAAAAAAATTGATGCTCTGTGTGTGGAGGTGTATCTGTCACATTGTGAGGACCAAATGTCTCCACAATGACAAAACCTGTTTCACCTTGTGGGGACATTTTTCAGGTCCCCACAAAAATCTGTCGATGCAGTCAAAGAACTAAAAATGAAATGGTCTCATATTTTGTTTGTTTACTTATGGTTAAGGTTAAGGCTGGGTAGGGGTTAAGGACGTCATGTTGGGATTAAAGTATTTCTAACAGAAGTGAATGGAGAGTCCCCACAAAGATATAATTACAAACGTCTGTGTGTGTGTATGTGTGTGAGGTGAGGGGGGTCGTGGGTGATTACTTGATATAACTGTTTATCCTGATATTTTAATTTAATTATTGCATATTGTTTTTAGTCATCGTCCAGCCCTAGTATGACCTTGTTTTTGTACCTCCTCTTGAGGTACCAGTTATAGGCATCGGCACATTATCACGAGGATGATACGAGAAGGTCTTTTAAATGCATAGTACATAACAGGTAGTTCATCAAAAGCCTAAATGAAAAGCTTACCCTATTTAAAAAGTATGTAGAAATATCAGGCTCTGCCATCATACACCCACACAGCACCAAGTTAGACTCTAACTACACAACATACCCTAAATACCCAGTATTCAACACCTATAAAGTCCGGCTTAGACAAGCTGCTAAGCTTGTCTTACAGCAAAGCTGCCGCTCTGGATAAGTGTCTGCAGGCAGGAAAATCACCAAGGTCATCAGGTGCCCCCTCTGTTCCCCCCCCCACCAAACTGGTGTTTCCTTGAGTTTAAGGCACAGTGTGTCTGACGTCATAGACACCCCCCCCTCCTGACGTCATAGACACCCCCCCTCCTGACGGCAGAGACTC